TGTTGAGAACATACAAAATGGATGAACGAAATGAGTACGTTAACAATGAGGAAATGAAAATTGAGCTAAACACTTACTGGATGATAATTTCAGTTAATCCAATCCAGTTGATAACGGAGCGAAAAATACCTTCAACGAATTCACTTAGTGAAACTGCCAATGATGTTGATACAAACCACTGAAGATGTTGTTGTGGTACGGTGGAATTCGTGAATTATAGGGCTGAAACTATCATATTGAAGAACAGTAAATTGATGCGATCATGGTACATTAATGGATCGAGTAAATATCGAAAATTGACCACTTTAACAAGTTTAATTAAATCGAAATAAAGAAAGCACTTGAAAATCACAGTAAGTACAATATGAATGGGATAATCAACAGTGCTAAGAAGGGAGCAATTGATAATATTCAAAGATTACTTTTAATTCACAGAAAAAATATTCAAGATAATTGTATTCGAAACAACGTACGATTGAGAATAATTCCCTAGTCCAAAACGCAGAACGAATCGTACGTCTGAATAGCGATTGAAGGCGGATTGGTGCGGGTGACACCGAAAACTTAATTACTGAAATTGAGATTAATGATGAATGTTGCAGTTTTCATCACCTTGTTTCGAGCGATTCATAAAAAATTACGGAGGATACAGAATCACGAAGAGGATCGATCACATCGAACAATAATGGAGACTTTGCTCTGAGGATTCTTATTGCTGTGGGAGATCATCAATGTTATCATCAATTCTTTTGCATTTACATGACATTTCCAATGAANATTAAGTAAAAATGATTCTCCTGAGGCAATGATTAAACAACATATAATCGTGATAAAGTTTGGCGAGAAGTTTGTTAATTTTCGAAAGAGGTAATAGAGGAATGTTGCCAATGATTTTTTTTTGTATTGAAACAACGAAAAAATGATATGGTGTGTGCATGTGGGCGTGGTAATGATTGTTCGAGGGTGATAGATGTGTCGTCCTCATCATTTCATGTAAACAATTCATTGGTGACGTGATTTTCCAGTAGAGCACGTGCATTTCGAAAGTCGATCGAATGGCATCATTCGTGGTCAGAGTCAAGTGAATCTGAATGGTGAAGGACAATGCGTTGATGAAATAGAGGTGAAGTTAGAATGTTAAGCATTGAGATTTGATCACGCGGACCAGTCATTGACTGTACCTATACGATTGGCCGAGTCTCTGTTGATCATTAGTAAAGCTGATTAGAGAAGAAATACACATCCAAAGTCAGTTCTAACGAATAGATTGATGACTTTTCCGTGCCAGTCGTATGAGCTCAGCTTAAGCTACTTGAAATCTCTCTAAGAGGTATTCTAATAGAGATCATTTTATGCTATGTTTTTACTAGTTTTTACTAGTAACTAGTGTAATCATCACTGAAATTTCATTCTTCTCATTTCAAGAGCATGAACATTGAAGGTTTGTTTGTGAAAAAATCTTCGAAAAATCGAGGTTTGATGCAAAATAGAAGAGATCTGCTCATATTTCAACGGAAATCAATGCGACAGTCCAGTTATCTGTCCAGATATCTGTAAAAGTTGGAAAACGCAAAACAAAATGTGAACAACACAACTCAACGAAAATATAGCAAGGAACATAGGTGAAGGCACAACCTTGAGCATTCAGATTTGATGCTACTGGTCAAAACTCAGGATACATTAGGCTCGAATGTGCTAACCCGTATAGCATCATAAAAACTGCAACATCTCCTCGCAGAGTGGGAAATTCTCAGCGAGCTTTTCAGTTTTAGAAATATGAAATTCTGCCCATTCGGGCAATGTATGAACACTAACGTGCTTCGTTGCAAACCTGAGAAGACGGTAAGCTTGAATGTATCAAACTTACATTTCAGTACAACTGCATTGCACCTATAGACCTACAGTTAGCAAATGCATGACAATGAGCGCGCTAGTTGAGATAGCTAGAGCTAACAAAATAGCTAGAGCTCCTCAACAAAGCAAAATTGCTGGACAACATATATGATTTTCTTTACCCAGAGATTCTGCTCAATCGATTGATGTGAAGAAATTGATGCCACTATTCAAAGTGTAGAATCGATCGAGTGAACTGATTCCGGCAAGGAGTAATGGTGCGTTCATCATATCTTCAACCTGGCTCAACGGTCCAATTCAGGCTTCAGATGTGCTCTCTTTTGGTAATCATCTCGATGGTCTGTTTGAGGAGTACAATAGACAAAATTCGCATTCGCGTGTTTTGCATGTTATTGGTGGATAATGCTGGGTCTTACAATTAGAGTTTTACGTTACACATATCTGTGCCATGCGACATCATGCCGCATGTCTGTAATCATTTCATTTTCTTTTTGATCAATCATTAATTGACTGAATAACTTCAANCCACTACTCGGGGTGTAGATCGTGGTGGTATGATTCTTCAGGTTTCGTCTGTAGCTGTTTTGAAGTGCAGCTCAATTGCATGCTCACTTTTGGACGTAGTGAATAACAACTTTATTTATATTCAAATGGAGCAGATAACAAATTCAACACAACTAGGCAACATATTGTTCCTTCAATGTCTTATATTCGAAAATCATATTGCCCTGACGGAAATATCGCGAATCATTTGAATGGTAGTTCATGTTTGGTTGACTACATGAACGAATTGTTGCCGGTCGTTTGGAATTGATGTATGCGGAAGTGACGATGCGAAAACGAAGTTTACGGAGACTTGCAAATTTATGCATTGTTGGTGTCGACGAGAACTGAATTACGAGCGATTATTTCCTTGTACCATTCGGCTGATTTCTTTGGTGTTCGTTTGCGGTCCGCATCTTCGAAGTCGACCTAAAGTATGCAACGTATGATTATTCTGAATTAAGCAACTCTGCTCTTAAGCCTTAAGTCAGTATAGCAGTTTTTATTTCATTCTTGCAACTCGACCATAGGCAGCATTTCAGGCGAGCTCTATGGTGAATGCATTGCATGCGGTCAAGAGACAATACGACTGAACTGATAGATCATTTTGTGGTCAGTGAATACAACGAAACGAATGAGTTTGGTATGCCATCAACTGATTGCATGATTCGAACAAACTGATTTACTCAAATCGTTAGAAAATATGACTGAATCAAATTACGAATGAAATGAGCCAATATCAATCTAACAAACTATAATCGCTCACATGATAAATACCAAATCTGAACTTGTATCCTTGATCCCACTCGAAATTATCCAACAGACTCCACAACGTATACCCAATAACATTACATTTATCGCTGAAACACATTCAGTAATGAAACAATAAGTCCATTGTTACCTACTATCATCACATTAAAATGAAGCAATCATTTTACAATTTGGGAACACTCTCAAAATAACATGAAATCATCATGATTAGTGTGATTGGATGAAGAACTTTCTATGAAGGCTACGTGATATCAGATATCAACAATAAATTGAAAAGAAGAGGACAGGTACGAACCCAATGAGATCGTCTTGAGATGTTCGGCGAGATAAGCGATCCTCGTTTCGTCGTGCAGTTCCTCTCCGAGTGTGTCCATACAACCGTTTTCTGTGATCAACACTGTCACGTTATTGTATTTGTGCTTAATATAATTCAGTAGTTTACGAAAACCTTGTGGATAGTCTTGAAGCCATGAGCCTGGTGGTCCGATCCTGCAACAATTCATTCTCCGAGCAAATATCAGATGATCACTATTAACACTCAGAAGACTCCTTATCTTTTTTTTCTAAAAAACAGAATTTCACAAAGAACATCTATCTCTAAATGAATGTTGTATGTGTTGGATGAAGAGCAGTGAAATGATGATCTGCATATTGGATCAACAGTTACAGATGACTACTGGCCAAGAAGCAAATAATGATTCGATTGATACGTTTTCCATTTGTTGCTATGTGACCATGCAACACCTGAGTCGCGATCCACTTGAATGTGGTTGCCTGGTTCGCCTGGTTTCAGTTCACGAGCCATGAATGAAGTGTAGTAATTCAGACCCAAAAAGTTCGCTGACCCTCAAATTCAACAAGAAACATTTTCAATGAGTGCGGATTACTTCATATAATAGCTCACTGCAACGGCTCAGACTCTATGAATGAAGAACAATTCATTAATTCATTAAACAATTCATTAAGTCATCAAAGCATGACTACTCTCCTTACAACTACCTTAATACAACTGCTTGCCAACTGATGACATTACCTTGATCAGCTTAAAAAAGTTTGAGATTTGAGCGATCTGAACACAATCACTATGGTTTTTCTGATCTATTTGTTGTCTGATCGATCTGTTGCTCTCTTCCATATTTCTTCATCAATGAATGTGACTAAATGAGATCTTTTCTTTCCATAGCATCATTGAGATGCATTCAAATGATCCAAAACAATGAATTTCAACGACACTGACTCTGAGTGAATTTCAGAATTAGTGTTCAGTTCAAATGAATTCAGGATCTACGATATTACCCCTTATGAAGTCAATTTGCTGGGCTGTGAACGATGGCAGACGGGAAACGATACGGTTCTCTTGGCGTGAAATTTAGGCGATTCTTTCGATCATTGTCTTCGGATTATTACCGTCTTCATGGAAGATCGGACGAGTGAACCAATCGAAATTCCATTCCAAACCTCGACGAGCCGCGTCTTCGTCTTCTGCACTTTCTGGTTCAAACCAAAATCCAACACTTGTGATACCGATTTGACCTGAATTAATCGCTTTGTAACTTTCCAATGCCGTGATTTTATTGTCTATAACCAACGTCATTCATGCACATACACACAAACATTTGCATGCACATCTGAGATGTAGTTTCAATTCAGTTTCATGCGGAAATGTATCATACAAACATTCTATCACAAAAATCAAAGTTTCAGCGAAACATTCCATAATTCATGTAGAAATATCGCCCAACAAATGAACCTGACATAAGAGATCTCAATGTAGAGATGGAATGCATTTTCACAAAAATTTTGAAAAATTTAATCACCGGAAACAACGCCAGCCAAATGAAAATGATGATGAAAAAGAGTGGTGACAACTCTAAAAAAATTGCAAAGTCGAAAAAATTACAAATGCACTTCGACAAACATTTTCAAAGCGATGAAATGATGGAAAAAATGGAATATTTCTTGGAAACCAATTGCTCATTGATGATGAACAGAAATACCGACGGATCGTTGCTTCCTTACACCGAAACTCCGCCAAATTAGACGAAAACGCGAATAACTTGAAAATTAAGAAGCCGATTTGGACAATTAAATGGTCTAAAGTTGTCTAAAAACTCGAGTGAATGACTGATGAAGAACCAGTTTTATCTGACAAATATTTGACACTGACACAGCAACAATCCATCAGTACTTCTGTTTTACAAATGGCAACGATATGTCTTAAAAATGGTAGTCTAATAAAAATGACGGTACTTCAAATGATGCACAAAATATTCAAAATAAATTACACTCAAAATGAAACATGGCATTCGAATAAAAATTTTGTATCCAGTATACAGGTTACATTGAATTGATCAACTGACTACATTGAGCTCGCAAGAATTCGAAGACATTATATATATATATATA